TTGTCAAAATTATTCGTTAATATTTATCAAAGTTAATTATTATATTAAAAACGAAGCTCATGTTTATATGAACTGTTTGTCTTAAAATCACCCTTAGAATTAACTATACATACTAAAGTAACACACTGTATGTATGGGTCTTAATTTAGAACACAAATAAATTAGAGTTTAGTATTTGTATTCATGAGTGGGGCATAGTATCTGCATATTTAAATTTTTGTGTCAGAGGAGAAGCTTCTTCGCATTTTCTTCGTTTTTGAGATGCAGAATGTTAAGATAATTTCGATTTTTTTTTCAGTGTCAAAATTTAATAAAAATTTAAAAAACAGATTTTAAATTATCAATAAAACCATGACATTGTACATCTTTTTTGAAACACTCTCGAAAACGAGATAACATACGAAAAACTGTATAATATTTGTTTAATCCCTTATAATTAGGAATAATTTTGTAACTATTAATTAACTTAAGTTAATTGTTTTTTATTTAAACACCCTGAAAATGATTTAAAATAAGAACATCTAGTACATATTTGATATAAAACATAGTATAAAGTATTAAATTACTTTTATTTTAGATTATTTTAATGAATCTTCTAAATACATTTATTAATGACATTTTTAATGAACCTCCTTAATGCATTTATTAATAAATCCCTTTAAAAAATTCAAAATTACTTTATTTGCTTAACTTTATTTTTTTAAATCGAGATTTAAGTTTAAGCCATGTTTAATAATAAATTATTTTTAATAATTTTTCTCCTTACACGAAAACAACGCAGTTACATGAATTTCAAGGAACTTTGATATCTGATAAAAAGAAATGGATGATTTTCTTACCTCATGTCATAATTTCCTTGAAATTATGTTATGTTTGTAAATACTCATTTCTTAATACCATTTGTCAAAACAGTCTAAAGCTTTTAAAATGAATCGTTTTGGTATAATTTTTGACAAAAATTAAGGAACAAATTGAGAAAAGCATTTCCAATAACACTCTGAATAAAGAGTTAATTTGTGGCATTTTGTAATGCAAATTAGTCAAACATTTATTAATTTACTGAACAAATATTATTTTTACCTAACATTTATCATTTTACTAACATACGTATACTACCTAAATACCTGACATTTAAATAAAATACTGTGCAATAAATATTTTTACTTAAAAGCTATTAATTTACTGAACAAATATTACATTTACTTAACATTTATCATTTTTACTAAACATATATTATATACTTGACATTTAAATAAAATACTGTGCATTTTATTTGTTTCCGTATTTTAATACACTGGAGAATTATTTATAGTAATAATTATAACAATTATAATTGTTCATTTAATTAAATTTTAAAATACGAAACTACTATATTCCATAAAAGTTTTATAAACGCCATTTAAGACATGAATTTAATTTATGCTCCAGCGAGCTTGCGAGTCCTTAATTAAATGAGTGTTTAGAAAAGCTTATAAACGAGTTGCATACTATACTTTTTCTACGACAAATACTTATTAATATCTAATAAATGATTAAAAATAAATATTTTTATGGAGTAACATATATAAAAAAATAAAGTAACCAACTTGGGAATCTGTAAAAATGTCAAATTTTTATATGTAAATCAAGAGGTATCCCTTGAAAATGAACCGTATATAGAAGCAGTTTTTTACAAGGAAAGTAAAGAAAATGTTTTATTGGCACTCCAAGGTGGAGTGTCCACCCGAAATTATGTTAAATCTAGTTTACTGTCGGCGAACTTTTCAAATATTGACGTTGAGAAACTATTTAATCCTTTTTATTTTTGTATTGAGATAATCAAATAATTTTTATATTGAGTATTATATTACAAGAACTATATTAACTTTATTTTAACGATTGTATGACATTTAACAACTGTCAACTAACTTAAAACTAACTTTAGCTGATGACTAAAAACCTGTTACGCCATAAAGCCACAAATTGTCAATATGTATTTAAAAGAAAACATGTACGATAATGGGCGTTTTAAAGGTGGAAGTGGAAAAAATATTAAAAAATACAGTATTGTATAGACTATAGAGCATATATCAATTTCAACATTGTTAATAAAAAAAATCTTCTGTTTGAATAATGAAATAAATATTTTTTCTTTAATAGCATTATTTGGCGATATTTATAATTAATTACATTATACTTACATTGTACTTTTAATTTCAGTTAGTTTAATCTGATACAGGCATCCCACTAGGTAATTTATTTTTTAATAATAGCCCATTTGAAAATATGGTAAGTTAATTATATGTTTGGAAAAGTTTATTCAGCACTTTTATACATAATTATGCCGGGTTCACGATTGGAATTTTTAGTTTTTATCTTTTTAGCAAAAAACGTTAATTAAAATGTTAATTTAGCGATTTTTTTCTTTAATTAGACTTCTTTATGAAAATAATCCTTTTCTGTACACCCACGGTTTTATAGGCAAAATAATATGATTTTGAAACTTAGGTACGGGTACGGGTTTTTCTTTTCGTTTATTTTTAATGTTTTATAAAGTAAAAAGTTTTCGTGAAAATATTTTTTAAGAAAATCAAAGTCATTATGATCTTGTAAAGTGTTTTGGTATACACGGAAAAACGCTCTAAAATAATTATTTGGGGGATCATTTTTATCCATTTCGCTTGGTTTGAAAAATTACCCTTCAACTTTGTTTTTTCTTTTATTTTTTAACAAAATATTTTTTGCATTTCATATATTATTATCTCAAAAAATATTTACCATTTACCTAAGAAATAAATACTGGTATTTTTTCATAAATACGAAACATATTTATGAACCATAAAAATTAATAATACGTACTGTGAAACAACAAAAAATATTTGGGAAAAATGGATAAAGTATTACAAAAAAAGTAAATGCGTATTTTGCGATTTTTTCATATTGGCTCTAGTTGTCGAGCTAATATTTAATTAAAATTAATTTTTAATTTTTATAACTTATACAAAAAAAATTACCTTGGAAATGGATTTTATATTCGCCAAAACCTATGTATGTTTAAGTTTAGGACTGCATGAAAAATGCTTAAAAGAAGGAAATGCTTAAATAACAATAGATATTACATGTTCCTTTTATTTCTTATTTTCTTATTTTTATAAATGTTTATATAAACTTTTATTAATTATTTTCATTGCCATTGCCAAGTTACGAGTCTAATTATGCACGAGCGTAGCTTGTGGTGCGAGTAAGAAGTTTATAAAACGAATTGTATACCCTTCTTTATCTAGGACGAACACAAATTAATGTTTTTCAGGATTTAAATCCTATATTATTTAATATTTTATCTGACATCTGATAGCTGACAAGCGGTTTTAACCTCACTTTTTTCCAATCTCAAATTTCTCAAATGGATTTAACCTTTTTTTTTTAATTTTAACTTTAAGCTTAAGCCAGTGCTTTAAGTAACTTAAAACACGGTCGTAAACTTAAGTCAGTATATTATTTTTAATTAAAGCATTACGGAAATGGCTTCATGCAAATATGAATAGTATTAAATTGTGGTTATTTTTTTGATATTTTATTTTAAGAACTCTTGTTAAATTTAAGTTTATTAAGATATATACATATCTATGTTGTTATGTTTATATATACTTTGTCCTGTAATTGGAATATTGTATTCTGTTGGGCAATAAATCATTATTATTAATAATATTATTATTACGAGAAATATTGCCTATAATCTTGACCAATTGTATACAGTGTGACACATTTGCTTGCGACTCACCCCTATAAAATCTTTATTTATAGTGTGATTTTAACCGCATTTGTTTTAAAGTGTAGATCTTGATAAACTTGATAAATTTTTTAAACAAAAAACACCATATTTTTACAAAATACAAGCCTACTATGTCAGTTTTTAAGAGTAAATTCTTAAGAATTCATATTAGCCGTTTTTTTAAACAAAATCTAAGCACGGCACTGGAGTCACCACCCCTCTAAACGACCCTATACTAAATTTTATTGAAAAATTTTAAGTAGAAAAATGCACAATAATAACCACAAAAATTTGTTTTGTCAAGTTATCCATGAAAAAACCATTGAAATAAAATTAAACTAATAGTAACATGGGACTATTACTATAATTATAAACTTAAGTTTAATTTTATTTCAATGTTTTTTTCATGGATAACTTGGCAGAATAAAAAACTGACATTTCTCATAAGTAATCGTTTCTATTGATCTGTTCGAAGCTTTTACTTTTTAATTTATAACCAAAAATACATTTTTCATATTAAGTTTTCTTCTTAAAATCATTTGTAAATATTCTTTCGTATTGACATATCATTTAGTAATACACTATACATTAATTTTTCTAAAATAAGATGAAGGAAAATATTTTAAAATTATTATAATAAACAAAATATTATTTTGCAATTTAAAACCTTCCTTTTAGTGATAAAAATTAAAATCTATTAAAATTTAGGCCATCTATTTGAGGAAGTAGTATATCAATTGTTCTAAATCAGCACCTCGTTAAAAATTATGTTTTTTTCGTTGCCAGCCAATTTAAAAATATTTTCGCTCAATTTGTCATTTTATTTGGCTACAAAAGCATCAAAAAAATGTAAACACACATCTAAAAATAAGCGAGAAGATATTAATCTTGTTTCGAAACCTTTTTTTTCTGCTGAAAACGGACACTGGTTTTTATTATTGTAATTTTATTCCAAATAAACGTCCCATAAAATCTTTATGTCGCAGATAAATCTCCAATTAGTCTTATTTCATTCTAAATACTGCACCCAAATATTAGAAATTTTGGTATTAAATAAAACAATAGTTCCGACTTATATGGAGAGTATTAATTAATAAGAAGTTTTTATGTAGATACATTCACCTACATTCATAATTATTTACAAAAAATATTTGTTACAAGCCGACCATGTGATTTTTCCACACAAACAAACCGTCAATTTTTACAAAACTTTTTTTGCTGTCAATTATAATAATGTATACATTCTTACCTTAACAAATTTTCAAAGACACCATTTTTCTAATTCACACACACTCTCAGCAAACAAAAAACAAAACATAACTAAAAACGAAAAGTCATCTTCAACAATTATCGAAAATTTCAAATCTCTTGCACGTGACGTTTATAAGCATGCACGCGAGTCGGACTGAAATTTCGAAGCGCGCTATTCCGTTGCCGTTGCCGACGAACATTTGAGCATCTACTGCCGCTCCAGATTGGAGTCTCCTCCGCAGGTTGCTAGGATCCCAAAAGCGCCGCCAATAAACGGCGCTAACGAAAGAAACGAAGATCACTGCCGGAAGTAACAATTTTAAAACAATAAATTAATTTTAATTGTTTGATGAATTATTTACGATTTGGTTTTGTTTAAGTGCAATTTGGTGTAATATTTTTTGGGAACTATGTTATAAATAAAAGTAAATTAAAAGATATCAGTAAATACCCAGACTGCAATGAAGGTTTGAAAATATTCCAGGAATATTCCCTATCGCCTAGGAATAATCCGCTTCATTCTAGGAATATTCATTGGGAATATTCCTAGAATGATCCTCTAAAACTTCCAAGCATCATCTAAGAATATTCCCAGTAAATATTCATTAGTTTAGTTACAATACCTCTCACCGTTGCTTACGCACGCTTGATAACTATATATACCGATAGGATAATAATATTAGTTGGAGATGTGCGTCTGTGATGGCACAGCCAAACAATGATTAGAGTGGGACTGATCTACTCAGTAACTCAATAATGGCTATACTTAAGTTAAGTTCCTGGGTATAAGAGGCAATAAGGGCTGGGAATAATCCCAAATTATATCAAGGAATATTCCCCTAACAATCCTTGAGTCTTCTGCAGGCAGATATATGGAATATTCTTTTTATGATGCCTGGAATAACCAAAAAGCGGACATTTCATTATGCCAGGAATATTCCTGGGAATATTCTGGGACGATTGGAATATTCCTGGGAATATTCCTGACATGTGCAGGGAATGTGATTTTGCGGTCTGGGTAATAGTATATTAAAGTACTAAAATTTAATTTTGTCGAATTTTACTTTAGATAGTTGGTATCACAGTCATTGGTTTGACAGTCAAAATCGATTCGCCATGCCGTCCTTAATTTACTTATTTCCAATGAGCGGCTTTTAATTTTAAAGAAGAAAAAAAGAATTTTCTTTGGTGTTAAACAAAATTTATTGCCAGAAAAGTCTAGTAAGTACTAGCAAAATCATAAAAATATTATAACCAATATAGTTTTGGAGCATAGTGCATCCCGTGGGATTTTTTGTGAAGGGAAGATAAAACTATCTGAAATCAGTTTTTTATACACAAGGCAGTAGTGTATTATCGGGTGTTTTGTTTAAAAATGTGTCAATTTTTTATGACGTCAATAATCCGATACCTAACTGTTATTTCAGGTATGCGTTTATAAAATGTTCCATAATTTCGTAATTAGTGGTCCTATTAAAAAAATTATATAATCTCTTAAAATAACCAAAAAAAAGGAAAAAAATTATTTAAAACATTTTTTTTTATCTCAAATGGTTAAGAAAATATTGGCTTTTAAAACTGACATATTGTAATATTTTTATTAGGGGTGTGCGAATAATTCGAACTTACGAATTATTCGTTCCGAATCGAATATTAATATTCGATTCGGAACTCGAATCAAATAATTCGAAAATTCGAATTATTCGAAAGTTCTCGAATAATTCGAAATTTTTTCGAAATATTCGTAAACTATTATATTATTAGCGAATTTTTGAGTATTTTGAATTTAGGGTTTCCTATGTTCGATATTCAAATATGAATTTAACAGTCAACATACATTTTATTCAAACCATGAAATATAGTTACACAAATAGAAGTATAGTTTTTTTTTGAAAGAGAATGAAATAACAGAAATACAACATTTGAAAATTTGCTACAAAAATAATAAATACGATACTGAAACATTACACGAGTAACCTTTTTCTTATAGATTTTTTTTTCTCTAGGTAATTGATTTTTTAACGAAAAGTATATTATAATAATATAATAAATAATAAATAATTATTGGTAAGTAGAATATTTCGATACACGATTTAAAGGAATTTAATTGGAAGCAATTGAAAATCCAGAGATATTTCGTTATTTCGCGAATTATTTGAAAATTTTTGAGTTATTCGAAATTTTTCGAATTATTCGAAATTTTTCGAATTATTCGAACTTTTTCGAATTATTCGAAATTTTTCGAATTATTCGAAATTTTTCGAATTATTCGAAATTTTTCGGGTTATTCTATTTTTTTTGAATTATTCGTAGAATTTTGAATAATTCGAAAATTCAAATTATTCGATTCGAATTCCGAATCGAATATCAATATTCGATTCGATTCGAACGATATTCGCACACCCCTAATTTTTATATTTTGCATGGATCCATTTGGAGCCATTTTGCAAGAAATTTGAACTCAGCTATTTTTGATTCGATTAAAACGATGTTTTTACGGATGCGAAATTTAACCACCTTTCAAACCATATATCGGATTTGGCATATATCGGATTTGGCATACCCTCTCGATGCTGATTTAAGTAAAATCTTGAATTAAAAAACAAAAATATACCGTCATCTAGGTGAATAGCCCAAATAAGAAAAAAATTTAAAATAAAGTTTCTATTTTTCCTTGTAAAACAGTGTAATACATTGTAATTAACAGGAAATGGTAATTAAATAGGTAATAGTAAATATTTAAAAAGAAAACTGGTAAAATTAAGTATTTAGTAAAATACTTTTGACATTTCTATGTACACATAGGTAAATTGATAAAGTCAAGGCACACTTAATTTATAAGCAACCAATGAAATTACTTAAATTTACTAAAACAGTTTTATTTCAAAAAAGTCACTGTTGCTAGAGGCTAAAAAAATTGATGGGCCATTAAATTTGACGGCCCATAAAATTATACAATTATTTCGATACACGGTCATATGACAATCAAAAAATGTCATATGTAATTTATTTTGCATTTTATAAGTGAATGTCGAAAATGGTGGACATTTTGGATTAGAAATGCCATAAACACCACCAGACATATTTTCAAGGAAAACACCCGGTACCACACAACTCAAAAAGGTATAAAAAAGCTATCCCATATAGTCCCATCATCCCTTCATAACAAATCCCACGTAGAATATTTTATTGCTTTATGCTCCAGGACTAATATGCAAAATATTATTTTACTAGTATGCTGTTTAAAGTATATATATATATATATGGCTATAGCCAACCTATAAAATCAAAATTTTGGGTGGGATAAAATATCTTATTACAGCACCGAAAGCGGTGTTATAATGAAGTCATTATGAACTCAAAATAGATAAATATCTTATTAAAACAATTTATATTTTTTCGTACAAAACTAAAAAAATGTATATATAGTATACTTATATAATATACTAATATATTACTGTTCTTTTATCTACTACAACATTGACAAGCTGTGACTTTATGGCGTTTTCGTCACGGGCTGAAGTTAGCAACAGTGAACTTTGGGCACTTTAGTCACAGGCTGAAGTTAAATTGCTGCATAAATATAAATTGTTTAGACAATTATGGTGTGAATAAAGTGTTCAGTTGGTAGGCTTCTATTACCAAAATCAAAATTGCGCTCTAAGTTTAGATGGGACACACTGTATATAATAATGTTATATTGATTTGATTTTTGAACAAAAACTGTCATAAAATACATCCATCAAGTTGATATTTTACCTTGTTAAGTTTTTTAATTTTAATAATTCGAGTTTCTGTAAAATAATTTTATATTTTTGACATTTTAAAATTAAAACGTGCATGTTACCATCGTTACAGTAACTCTATAGAACAATTATTTTTTAAACATTTTTCTATTACTCACCCTGTTTTCACATGTTACAGAAATGACGAATAGTGTATAATATATTAAAATGGATTTTTTTACAAAAACATTACTAAATTAGGACACAATAAAATAATGTAATGGAGAAAAATTGTCACCTAATTAAACAGAATACACTAAAAAAGCATCGGGTTTTCGCAACGTGCGCATCATCTGGTGGCGCTCGATAGCATTATTGAAGTACAATGTTTGTCAATAATACATACGAACTGCATCATTTTTAAATAAATAAGTTGTTTTTTTACATAACTCGACATATACTCGACAAATTTTATTCGCCTAGCTAATTAGCTATTAGTTATTTGTATTTCGCGTTGCAAGTAAAAACTGCAAAACTTCGGTTTAGTACTCGATTTCTTATACCATTGATTAAGAAACTCAACGCTTATATAGTTACGTTAGTCTGTGTATTTTATCTAAGTGATCATGGTGAATTATTGTGTTTTTAATTGTAAATGTAATTCAAGGACTAATTCGTAGCATTTTTATGTTTTGACAATTTTTAAGAAATGTAACAAAAAATAATTGTTGTATAAAAATAGCCTTAAAATCAGTGGCGGCTGGTGGATTTTGGGCACACCCATATCTCAGTTATTGGACATGGGACCCAAATTTATATGAGTTTATAATGACTTTATATAGACAAGTTTTGCGCAAGCAGAATTCAAATTAAAGTTTGCGAAAAAAAATAGTTTTTAAGTGTGCCCCCCAGCCTCCTGCCCCCCAAATTAAGATCATTCAAATTAAAGTAGTACAATATTTAATTCACTGAAGTTTATCGACAAATTTCAAATTTTATTAAAAAAATTTAAGTATTACAGATTTTATACCATTTCTATTTTTTTTTAATTTAGTAAAAGAAATAATAAAAATTTAAAGTGGTATAAAACCTGTAATTCTTGAAATTTTTTAATAAAATTTGAAATTTGTTAATAAACTTCAGTGAATTAAATATTGCACTACTTTAATTTAAATGATCTTAATTTGGGGGGTAGGAGGCTAGGGGGCACACTTAAAAACTAATTTTTTTTCGCAAACTTTAATTTGAATTCTGCTCGCGCAGAACTTGTCTAAATAAAGTCATTATAAAATCATATAAATTTGGGTCCCATGTCTAATAACTGAGATATGGGTGTGCCCAAAATCCACCAGCCGCCACTGATTTTAAGGTAATGTTTGTACAACAACTATTTTTTGTTACATTTCTTAAAAATGTTTAAACTTAAATATAAATTATATTAGGTAATATTATTATTAGTTTATTCTG